CCGGTGAGCTTTTCCGGGTAGAAAGCTCACCGGAAGCACGTTTTCATCAAAAAAAGATGGCGGCGCCCAGCTGATGCCGGTACCGGGCCGCGGCGTAGAAAAGGTTGGGGATCACTGCCTTACTCTACTTGAACAAGGAAATAGGGGCAGCAGGTGCCCATTGAAAAGGAACAGCCACTTCTAAAAAAAACCCAACTTACTTAGATGACCACCTTCACTCACTCATCTGGACACTTCTTTCTAGCACTGATGATGTTCCCTAGTTGGGTCATGAGATGTCTGCAAGAAAACCCCCAAGCTCAGACACCACCAAAGATCCAACAGTCCTCCTCCTCCTCCTCCTCCTCCTCCTCCTCGTTTTCCTCCTCTCCACAACCCCTCTCCCTTCTAACACTGATGACGCTACCTTGTTGGGTTATGAAACGTCTGCAAGAAAACCACCAAGCTCAGAGAGCACCCAGCACCCCAGAGTTTCTACCCTGAGCTACAAATATTTTCTTCTGTTGCTCATAAAATGGGGTAAAACTCACTTAGCAACTGTCTTCCTTAGCAACCAAAATTTTGGGCTTAACTACGGTCTCAGCGTGTCGACTACCTGTATTTAGTACAAAGCCACTTTCTAGATTTGAAAAAGCGAGGGAGCTAATGATTTTGTTGGGTGTGGATTTGCTAATTCAGAGTTTTGCATTCGTTCCTGGACTGTTTGGTAGAGTTTGGAGTTGACATGTGGAGAAAATAAAACATTTTGGAGTCTAATTTTCTCCCTCCCTAAAGTTTCCAAAGCTGTTTTGGGTAGGGGGCAGCCCTCCCCACCAAAGAGAACCCAAGGCTTCCTTTACTTTTACATTGGAAAAGGTGCAAAATCAGAAAATGGGATTTCTTTGCAAGTGGATGACCTTCTAAGTCAGGGATCTCCAACCTGGGCCACTTTAAGACTCGTGGACTTCAATTCCCAGAATTCCTCAGCCAGCCAGGAATGATAGAGTTGGAAGAGACCAGAAGGGTCATCTAAGTCAGGGGTCTCCAACCTGGGCCACTTTAAGACTCGTGGACTTCAATTCCCAGAATTCCCCAGCCAGCCAGGCATGATAGAGTTGGAAGAGACCAGAAGGGTCATCTAAGTCAGGGGTCTCCAACCTGGGCCACTTTAAGACTCGAGGACTTCAATTCCCAGAATTCCTCAGCCAGTCATGAATGATAGAGTTGGAAGGGACCAGAAGGGCCATCTAAGTCAGGGGTCTCCAACCTGGGCCGCTTTAAGACTTGTGGACTTCAACCCCCAGAATTCCTCAGCCAGCCATGAATGATAGAGTTGGAAGAGACCAGAAGGGTCATCTAAGTCAGGGGTCTCCAACCTGGGCCTCTTTAAGACTTGTGGACTTCAACCCCCAGAGTTCCCCAGCCAGCTTTGCTGGAATTCTGGGAGTCAAAGTTCACAAGACTTAAAGAGGCCCAGGTTGGAGACCCCTGTTCTAGAGGCTTCCAGATACAGCACCTTTATCCTCCAGAGCAAAAAATTAGGGTACGTGGGAGAACCCCAAAGGAGCTTTTTTCAAAAGGCAACTGGATTTTCCTGTTATTATTTTTTTCTCCAGTTCTTCAGAAGTTTCTTAGATGAGAAGCGAAACATTTTCGAGGAGGAAAAACCCAATTGCTTTTTGAAAAACAAAAGAAAACAAAACTTCTGGGATAACCATGGCTTATAGCAGGGGCCTCCAACCTTGGCACCTTGAAGCTAGCTAGGGGATTCTGGGAGTCGAAGTCCTCCAGCAAAGCTGGCTGGGGAATTCTGGGAGTCGACGCCCTCCATCAAAGCTGGCTGGGGGATTTGGGGGGTTGCAGCCCACCAGGCTTCAAGTTGCCAAGGTTGGGGACCCCTGGCTTAGAGGACGGAGAATCCCGTGGTCGGCAAGAACTCCGCACCAGTTCAATGGCAACCACGGGAAGCCAGAACCGACGGTTAAAACCGGGGGGCGACTCCAAGAATGTGAACAGACCAAACCGGACCCTAAAATGCAGAATCGGGAACCGGGATGAAATGGGTATCAAAGCGGAAGAGGAGGTGCTTCCTTTGCAGCATTTCAAGTTCACGGCATAAATTAAAAAAAAAACCCAGCCTGGGGGGGATATATGTCTTCTTTCCAAACTCAGCACCCCCCTCCTCTTTCCCTGGGGAAAGAGGACGGGAGGGAGGGGGGGGGTCAAAG